TAACCGGCGCGGAACTTCTGCAACCGCGAATCCATGGGATGGAAGAAGGCGTCCACGCCGGCCCTTTCGCAAGACAGCGTCGAGGCAAGCAAAACACTGTCCCAAGTATGTTCAAATACAAAAGTGTCTGCACCGACCCTTTCGCAAGACAGCGTCGAGGCGGGCAAACAACTGTCCTAAGTATGGTCAGCTGAGAAGATGAGAATAAGCTGAAAATAATCTCCACACCCGCCCTTTCGCAAGACAGCGTCAAGGCAGGCAAGGAAGCGTACTAGGTGTAGTAAGATGCTGCAATGTATGCAAAATACTGCAACGCGTTTTCCCTTTCTTCCCCTTCTTCTGCCTTTCGAGCCAAACGAGGCAGGCAAACGTGCAAGGAGAAAGCCTTTACAGAGCAGCAAGAAACTCCGAGCCTGCAGAAGTCATCGGCCAGGCAGCCTGCGAGTCGAACGTGTGCAAGGAGAAAGCCTCTACAAAGCAGGAGGAAGCTCCGAGCCTGCAGGTCATCGACCAGGCAGCCTGCGAGTCAAACGTGTGCAAGGAGAAAGCCTCTACAAAGCAGGAAGAAGCTCCGAGCCTGCAGGTCATCGACCAGGCAGCCTGCGAGTCAAACGTGTGCAAGGAGAAAGCCTCTACAAAGCAGGAAGAAGCTCCGAGCCTGCAGGTCATCGGCCAGGCAGCGGCGCGTTGCGCCGTCGCAAGACAGCGTACGCGCCGTACAGGCGCATGAATATATGTCTATCTATCTATCTATCTATATATCTATTATCTATCTATCTATCTATATATATGGATAGATAGAAAGATAGATATATATATATATGTGCGTATATTATCGATATATGCATCTGCCAATCCCTCTGAAGGGTTGCCAATTGCACCTCGCAGAGATGCAAGTTCCTGCAATCGACGCACATATATATATATATATATATGTGCGTATATTATCGATATATGCATCTGCCAATCCCTCTGAAGGGTTGCCAATTGCACCTCGCAGAGATGCAAGTTCCTGCAATCGACCACATATATATATATATATATATGTGCGTATATTATCGATATATGCATCTGCCAATCCCTCTGAAGGGTTGCCAATTGCACCTCGCAGAGATGCAAGTTCCTGCAATCGACCACGCCACTCCCTGTGGAGAGTTGCACGGCGGAAAGCATACAAGTAGTAGTTTGCACACACGTTTCAACCCTGGACCACGCCAATCCATGCAGAGGGTTACACGCAGCGCCCAAAGACCATGCAACAGTACCTGCACACCTTCCGATTAGAACATTCGAGGAAGCTAATCCCTCTCAATGAAGGATTGCGCGGGGCACCGCAAAATGTGTAACTTTACCTTGCGTTCGACCACTCGACCACGCCAATCCCTGTGAGGGGTTGCAAAATTCATTTCAATGCTCCACTCCCTGTGGAGAGTTGCACGGCGGAAAGCATACAAGTAGTAGTTTGCACACACGTTTCAACCCTGGACCACGCCAATCCATGCAGAGGGTTACACGCAGCGCCCAAAGACCATGCAACAGTACCTGCACACCTTCCGATTAGAACATTCGAGGAAGCTAATCCCTCTCAATGAAGGATTGCGCGGGGCACCGCAAAATGTGTAACTTTACCTTGCGTTCGACCACTCGACCACGCCAATCCCTGTGTGGGGTTGCAAAATTCATTTCAATGCTCATCAAAAATTGCAACTTTCCCTCGCGTTCGAACACTCCACCACGCCAATCCCTGTGAAGGGTTGCAAAATTCATCTCAATGCTCATCAAAAATTGCAACTTTACCTCGCGTTCAACCACTCCACCACGCCAATCCTTGTGAAGGGTTGCAAAATTCATTTCAATGCAAATCAAAAAATGCAACTTTACCTCGCGTTCGAACACCCGACCACGCCAATCCCTGTGAAGGGTTGCAAAATGCAAATCCCTGTGAAGGGTTGCAAAAAAAAATTGAACTGCACCCAAACCCTGTGAAGGGTTGCGCGGCGCCCGCAAGAAGTGTAACTTTACCTCGCGTTTGAACACCCGAGGAGGCGAATCCCTGTGAAGGGTTGCGCGGCGCCCGCAAGAAGTGTAACTTTACCTCGCGTTTGAACACCCGAGGAGGCGAATCCCTGTGAATGGTTGCGCGGGAACCGCAAAATGTGTAACTTTACCTCGCGTTTGAACGCCCGAGAGTTCCAATCCCTGTGAAGGGTTGCGCCGGGCGCCTAAAATGTGTAACTTTACCTAGCGTTTGAACGCCCGAGGCAGCGAATCCCTGGGAAGGGTTGCGCGGTGCGCCTAAAATGTGTCACTTTACCTAGCGTTTGAACGCCCGAGGCAGCGAATCCCTGGGAAGGTTGCGCCGGGCGCCTAAAATGTGTCACTTTACCTAGCGTTTGAACGCCCGAGGCAGCGAATCCCTGGGAAGGGTTGCATTCCCGATGGACCCCGACGGTGCCACCCCCGCCAATATTAAGAAATATTAAGATACCGAGATGTAGAGAGTAAGTCATAAGTCATAGTAAGTCATAGATGCATAGAGAGTCAGTCATAAGTAAGTAAGTATAGTAAGTATAAATAGTAAGTATAAGTAAGCAAGTCAAGTAAGTAAGTAAGTATAGAGATAGCATAACATAGAGTCCAGTGTCAAGTGTCAAGTGTCAAGTAAGTTAGTAAGTAGATTGAAGTAAGTAAGTAAGTAAGTAAGTCGTAAGCATATCATAGAGTCAAGTATCAAGTGTAGAGTCAAGTATCATAGAGTCAAGTGTCAAGTGTAGAGAGTCAGTCATAAGGGTCAAGTAAGTAAGTAAGTATCAAGTGTAGAGTCAAGTATCAAGTGTAGAGTGTAGAGTAAAGTATGGAATCAAGTGAGTTGATTCTATGTCTGTCATCTATGTACTCAGCTGCGGCGTTCCACACGGAAGAACCCTTCGCGATGCTTTCGGGAACTCACTCTACAGAAAGGTGTCTGAGGCCCCGGCCAGACTGCAGCACAAACTCAGCACAACAACACTGCATACTGGTGGACCCCCATGACTACTCTTCTGCAACCGGCCCCCTCTCTCACGGCGAAATGTACAGGACTGCACCAGGCTACTCACGAACTTTCGAGACTTCGAGACTCCTAGCTGGTAGGATCTGGCCCCCTGTGACCCCACAGAACATAGCAAAAGCATCTCACTACTCTCCAGGGTGCCAGAATCCCCCATGGTCATCGTAGAGTGCTGCATGCATCCTACGTCGCCTATGGCTGTCCCCCCTCACAAGTGCAGGCTCTGAATCACTGGGGCCGGCATCAGGTTCTTGGGCCATGGTGGCCGCCACTTCCGCTTCTTGCATGGCGTCTCTTTCCGCCTGTCTTTTGGCTTCCTCCATGGCTGCCAGCAGGTCATCGTCGGTGGGACCCCACGGGTCCTCTTCTGGCATCGACGGTGGGTCCCCCTCATTGCCAGGTGTCGGAATGCTGCCCGACCACTGTGCCACGTCCAGCGGCGGCGCCCATGTTCCCCCCATTGCGTGAGGCTGCGGCTGAAAGAGCGAAGGCCGCTCCCCTTCCTCTGTCGTTTGCGTGTCCACATGGACCATGGTCTCGAGTCTGGCGGTGAGGTCCCCCAGTAGGCGGCGGACTTCTTCGTGGCCCCGTGCTTGAAATGGGAGAAGTCCCCGGATGGAAGTCAGCACCGACTGTATTTGAGCCTCCGCGCTTCCCCCACGAGGCGTTGGTCTCTCTTCTGCCCCTTCGTCCAACGCCGTCACGTCCGAAGCGTGCACGTAGTTCAGAAGGTCGAGCTCCTCATGCAACATCACGGCGTCCTCCAGGAGAAGTGCCACCGTAGAGGCCCAGCTTGAGGAGATCCAGTCAAACTCCCCCACTGTGGCTGCTCCCAGCGCCGTTTCTATGGCTTCGCGAGCTTGGCAGAGTCCCTCAAAGCTGTGCGCTACTTGGACCCCCCCTTGCGAGTGGGTGGCATCCTCTAAGCCTGCTCGTGCACGGTCGAGGTCCTTACGCGTGTCGATGAGGTCCCTCATGATGGCTTGCTGGTTCGGTCCATCTGCTCCCCCATCTGAGTTGCCCAGGTCTTCGAGTCTCAGCTTGACTGTGCCCAGGTAGTCCATTCGTCTGCGTTTTTTAGGCGGTGGCTCTCTGAGACACATCACTCGCTGCTGTTCCCCCGTGACGACCATGGGTAGAGGGCCTCCCACTGCGTCTAGAGCATCCTCAAGCTTGTCTCGCACGAGGTGCCCCCATGGCTGGGCATCAAGCAGGAGCGCTAGCTCCCTAAGAAAGTAGCGAAGCATGGCTACTTCCGCAGTGATGGCAGTCGGCTGATCGTTCGCTGGCGCCGTTTGGGCCCCATGGCTAGAGCTGGCTACTTCCCCTGTCATGTGTGTTTGCATCTGTGCGGTCTCTTCGTGCTCTTCTCCCTCTGGCTGCGGCTTTGGGTCATGCCCTTCGGGTGGTGTGGGTGCTGGCGGTGGTGCTGGTTGTGCTCCTCCTGTGGTATTGTACTGCTGCCGCCCTTGTTGCTGCCCCCCTCGGCCCGGCTGAGGCAATAGCCGAAGAGCCATGATCTCCCACTGGCTCGGTGGGAAGGTGGAACTGCGAGGTGGTGTGTGGTAAACTGGCCCCGCCCCTCTTTGGTAGGCCCAGTCGAAAAAGTACTGGGTAGCAGCCTTGGGGGGGATGTTGCCTAGCTGCCAGTGTCCTCCTCCTCCTTCCCCGCGTTGTGGTTGCCATTCCAGGATGTATCCAGTGCCCGGTCGTAGGTCTGTGGCCTCTGCATCCCGCAGTTGGCTGATGGCTGTAATGTGTAGCAACCACTTGGTAGGCTTCCCCCCGGTGATGTCCCCCCATGGTATTAGTGCGAACGCTGTGTTGACGCCAATGTGTCCCCCTGGCGGTGGGAGGCCGCTGCGGCGCTCCTGCCGGGCTCTGGTCTGTCTATTACATCATATTCTGGTGCTGCCGTGGAATGCTTCCCCAAAACGATGCCTGCCCAGACCCCATACGGCAATGCTCTGAGGTGGAGATAGGCTCCTGGCGAGATGGGGAGCTCCGGGGGGAACGTGAGCGGGTGCCGGGGTCCCCCTTGGGAAATCAACATGACGTTGATCAGCCCTTCCCATCTTTGATGCTGCCGCGGTTGCCTGGTGATGTTGGTGGTGCTGCTGCTGGCTCTGCGGCGTCTGGGGTCAGGTGGTTGGCTTCCGGCTGTTCTACCTCTGGTGGCTCCGGGGTGGGCTGTGGCACTGCTTTGGCTTTGGCCGCTGTGGTGGTCTTGTGGTTGTTGGGGTTGTCCCCCCTGCTGGCCGCCTCCTGTGGTGGTGCCCCCCCATGGCAAGTGGTGCTTGTTGAGCAGTTCAGCCATTTCCTGTCGGTGCTGTGGCGAAATGTGCAGGGACTGCTTGGTGTCTCCTCCCATTCGGACTCCTCGAGTCGGCCCTGCTGCGAGGATTCGGGCCCACTCCTCCTCATCATCCTCCTCCCGAAGGCCGACATAGTGTGCTACGTCGCGCCATGTCTGGTCGTCTCTTTTATGCCACCCCCTTTGCGCGTAAGCCTCCTGCACAGCGGCTTTAAAGCGCTTCCCCCGCATCCGTTGTTCCCCGTGTCCTTCGTGGTAGGGCTTCGGGTGTGTTTGTGGGCCGCCCCCTCCACCCCCCCCTTGCCTCCACTCTGGAGTGTTCTCCAGCTCCTCTTCTGGCTCCGGCGCCCCCTGCTGCTGCTGCTGTGCCTGGGTTGCTGCTTGCGGTGGGGGTTGGTGCTGCTGTGGGTTCTGTGGCGGCTGCTGCGGTTCCGCTGTTGGTGTCGGTGGTGCATCTGCTCCTCCTCCTCCTTGCTGGGCAGGTGTGCCCCGCTGCTGCTGCCCTCGATGGTTGTGGTCGGCGCTGCAGTCCGGCTCCGGTCTGTCTTGCGGTTGCGGTTGATGACTGTGTGGGGTGGGCGGCGGCATTGCTTGTTGTGTTCTGTCTCCGCCTGGGCTCTCCTGCTGTCTCGTCTGCGTTGGCGGTGGTGGCTGCTGCGCCGCCATGGTCGTGACATGTCCTGGTGGGGACTGTTGTGCTTGCATGCTTCGCCGTTGTTGCGTTGGCTGGTGGGTCAGTGGGTGGGCATGCATTCCCCCCGTCTGTGGTTGCTGGATCGGTTGCGCTGAGGGTGTGGACGGTGGTGCCTGTCGTGTGGTGTCAGTGCTGTGCGACTGTCGCTGTAACGTCCTCCCCCAGCGGTTGCGGGCCGGATATGTACCTGGCTGCGTCGTGGGCTGCGTGTGACCTCGGTCGTCGCGTGGGGGGGCCGCTGTTGCGGCTGTGTTGGTGGGCCCCCCGTGCGTGGGTCCGCTGCTTGGCCCTGCCGCCTGCGTGCTTGGCTGGACCGGCAATGGTTGTGGTGTGTCTGGTTGCCCTGGGGAGAGAGGTTGCTCGGGACTGGCCTGGTGGCTTGGCTGCATCCAGTGTGGTGTGTCGTCTGGGGTCGGTGTGGCAGTGGACTGGGTTGGGGGTATGTATGTGAGGGTGTACCCCCACTGATTTTGTGACGGTGGCATGCTGTATTGAAGTGTGCCATCCCCCGCTTGTCGCGGGGTGGTCCCTGCCGTGACCACTGCCGCTGCGTGTGTGGCTGTGGTTGCTGCTGGGGTGCTCGTCGTGGCTGCCTCCTGGTCAGTGTGCCAGGGGTCATTGTCAGGGTCGTAAGTTGGTGCATAGTACTGTCTGGTGGCCCATTGGCGGTGGGGTGCTGTGTTGGGGGCGGATGGCTGTTGGAGTGGTTCCCCGTCAGTGGAGTCCACATCCCAGGGGTCCGTGGCAGGCTCGTACGGCGGAGCGTAGCATCCCCAGGGCTCTGTTGGTGAGCTCCCTGGCTGGAGACCCCGCGTGTATGGTTCCGAATTCGTCAGTATGGCACGGAGCTGCAGAATGGGCACTGGTGGTACTTGTGGCGGTTGAGTACTCGAGGTTGCTGCTCCAGAGTGCTGTGGTTGTGGTGGCACGCCGTTGTGTCCGCTAGTGATGCACCAGCTACTCTCCAGAGTATCTTCTGCTGCTGTAGCTTCTGCCGCTGCGGTAACTGTCGGTGGTGTGTGGTCCCGACTGGTCGCTATGCTGTGCGAGGTGCACGTGCTGAGCGTGCTTGCTGCCAGATCGGTGTTGGCTGTGCCCGATGGCTGTGGTAGGTGGAGGCAAGGGGCTGGCTGAAGCGTGAGCCCTTTTCTCGGTGTGGGGGGTCGGCACGTCGGGCTGGCATCCCCTCTTGGTTCGCACTCTGCAAGTGCTTCCTGCTGTGGCAAGGTTTGGACTGGGACCGCCGGCTCTTGTGTTGTCTGCCCTGTCTGTTCTGCGGGCTGCGGCACTGCCGGCTGCGTCTGCTGCGTTGCTTGTGCCAGGGGTGGTTGGTCCTGGTGCGGCCCCGTGGGTCCCATCCATGGGGTAATTTGCTCCCATGGATCGGTGCCTCTGTCTGCAGTGGTAGGCTGCGTCGTGGTGCCGTGTGTCGTGGTTGCAGTCCCCCTAGAGAAGGCACATGGAGACAAAAAGCGATCCGACTCGCATGTTTGCGAGTCCTGTTCGTGCGTCGTGGAGCTTCAAAGCACTGAACGCTGCAGGTGACATTCACAAGCTGAGGCAGACGCTGGCAAACGTGCACACATGCAAACGGCACTGCTACACTGATACAGGCTTCTCCCCCTCAGCAGTTCCGGACGGCTGGCATGCACTGTGCTGTCAACTGGTCTGTCTCATTCGCTCGGTGTTGCCTTCTGCCTCCCGCACTGTTGTTGGGTGTCAGGTTTGTAAGGCTGCCTTAGGCCTTGTTGCCCCGATGCCCACGGCACGTCAAATGCTGCAACAAAGTCCCCAGCAAGAGTGTTCCATACGGTGGCGTCATTGGCCACCCGCTGCCAGGACTCTCCCGCTACTTTGGCGATTTGTCTCTCAGGATCCACGTTGGAGTTAAAGCGCCCCCTGTGCCAGTACTGCCTCTCTCTGCGCGGCTTGCGAACTTCGGCGCCCCACCACTCTAGGTTCTTCCAGGCAAGCATTGGCCTCCCCCCCAACTCTGCACGAGCCATGTGCCCCCAAATGTCCCATACCCGCTGCAGTATGTATGTGCTCCAACGCAGAACCTCCGCTTTGTGCAATGCAACCCTGGCTCCCCTCAGCGTGCGCACATTCCACTCCTCCCACGACTCTCCTGGACTTCTCCCAGGGTGCATCATTCTCCTCACCTGACCCAGCTGTGGCGTCTGTCACAGGCCAGGCCTCCCCCCCCCACACTGCTGCTCCCCTGACCAGGGTTTGGTGAAGTTTAATGCGACTGTCCAACGATGTGGGTGCACAAAGCAGCTTCGCGTGCTTGTGAAATGCTCGCCGGGCTCTGTGTTGCATCTCCGAGATGGTTGCAGCCACTTCCTCCCCGAAGGTAATGGGTGACCCCAGCGCTGTGACGACTGTGCCGAAAGGCTGACAGGCAACCTCTTCCCCCCCAATGTGGAAGCTGCCCCCCCCCGTCTTCATGCTGAAAATGATTGCCGTTTTGGCAGGGTTGATGGTCAGGCCATGCCGCCGGAGCTGTCGCTCCAACGCTGCGAGAGATGCTTGTAAGTGATGTTTGTCGTGGGACCAAAGGTAGGTATCATCCATATACGCCCCCCCTGATTGTGGTGGTGGTGGGCCCTCTGCTGGAGGGAGCATCCCCTGGGTGGTTTTGAGGGCCGTTTCGAGGTCGTCTGCAACCACACGCCCAAAGAGCACGGGACTATCAGGGGAGCCTTGGCGCACCCCATTCGTTTGCGGGACATGGGTAAGTGTGTCCCCCACCGCAACCCTGACTTCCCTCGCCTCTAAAAGGCCGAGTCATGCTCTGGCCTCCCATGGCATGCCGTCAACGCATCCCCCGCCCGAGGCTCGCAACCCCCCAACCTTCGTGGCAACCATATCCCCCATACTTTCCTGCCACACACTATCAAATGCTTTTCGGACGTCCAATTTGACTATCCAGGTCGGGATCCCCCAATCCTTTGCGTGGCGGATCACCCGCTTCAGCACCACCAGAAGTTCTGGGGCTTGCTTGCCCCGGCAACCCCATTGCAGTGGTGCCCCCTCTGTGATTCTGCGACCCCCACGGAGCAGTAGGAGTTGCGAGAACCATTTGAGTAGCGAGGAACTCAAGGTAATGGGTCTCGTATCCCCCCATGACACCGGATCCGCAATGGTCTTTGGCAGTAAAACCGTGACCCCCCTCAAGACCGACTCGGGAATGGCTCCTTTGTACAGAAAGTCGTTCATCATGTGAAGGATACGCCATTCCCACTGGGGTTCTTGCAGGAGCAGCCAAAGGAGCTCGTGCGTGATAGAGTCCGGTCCCGCAGCTTTCCCCCGTTTCCACGTCCTGGTAGCGAAGCGAAGGTCCTCCCCCGTGAATGGCCGCCATGGTGTGTGCTTGCATAGGAGGGTGAGGGCCCGGCGGGTGTCTGCTATGTTGCGTGCTGTGCGCTCCGCCGGGGCCTTTGCAAAAATGCTGGCAAAGTGTCCCACCAGCTTTTCCTGCCACCCCTCTGCATCAACCAAATGATGATGCCACCCCGTTCTGGCTTGCGTCATGTCGAATGCGCGCTTGGCTCGCCAATTGGCTTGGCTGGCTTTGTTGACAAGATGCTTGTGCCATGCTCGCACCTCCTGTTGGCGTAATCGTGTCACTGCTTTCCATGCTTCTCTGGCTTGATGCGCAGGTGCCCCCCTCGCCTGTCGGCGGAGGAGACGCAGTGCGGGGCTTTCTGTGTAACGGTCTGTGGCCTTCCCCGGCCTGGTGAGTTGCTGAGCCAGTTGTGCGATGGCCTGGGGGGTGTCAGTTTGTGTGGGTGGGCACCGGGTTGCCTCTTGCGGGTCAACTTCGTCTGCAAAGCGGCGTGCCCCCCACGTGGGGCGGGGTTTGGGAGGGGGGGATCCCCTTAGGACGTCCACCCAGACCAGGTCGTGGTCCGATCTGGCGATGTGCCGGCTGCCCTCCTTAACCCCCCCTTGTGTGCAGTGCAACCCCCTGGTCATCACATAGTCGAGCCGCCGGGAAGACATCCTGGTGTTGTAGGGGTGGTAGGTGTGGGTAGACAGTGATTGCGGAGTGCTGAGCTGGGTGTGGGCAACCGCCGTAAGGATGACTTCCCCCCTGCCCGTGTGTCCCCGCCAGCCCTGGCCGTCTCGGTCCGTGAACATCTCATTCGCATCCATGCCCAGGACAACGCGGGCTTTGCTAAGGGTGCCCTTCCAAGCTCCGAGGATGCTCTCAGTTTGGGCAATGGTGGCGTGGTGAGGGATGTGTCCTGAGAGATAGCGCACCCCCCTCCTTCCATCTTGTGCGGTCAGTGTTGTTGCAATCCCCGCAGGTAACAGCTGTGTATTGCTATGTTTGTTGTGTGCCCCTCTGTATGCTATGCCGGTGCCTCGCCAATCTCCCTGGTTCTTGCCATAGACAAGGACCCAACCATTGTGTTCATGAAACGAAACGCCAACATCGGTAATCACTTCTTGCAGCAAGAGAACTTGCAGTGCGTCAAGGTCTGGGTCCCCCGCGAAGTGAGGGGTAAGCTCCAGCACATGTTGTGCCGTTAGCCCCCCTACGTTCCAAGAGGCCACCTTCAGTGCTGTGGAGGAAGTCTTCCCCCGATCTGTGCGGTGAAACTTGCCGTCATCGTATTCCCAGAGTCACGCGAGCTCCGCCTTGCGGGGCTCCCAAGCAGCGCGTACTTCTGGTAGTGGTCGGCGGAGCGCTTTGGCCAGAGCAGTGATGTCGGCCCACCCCACGCCAGCCGTCTCAGCCCCCTTTGGGCGTTCAGCCGTGGCGCTCGCAACCTTGATCTTGGACAGCCAAACTGTTCCTGTTGCGAACTCGACTTCTAAGGCGGTCTTGTCTCCCCCCATTTCCAGAATTGTTCTCTTGACTTTGCCAGTAAGCTTGGCTCTGCGCCGGCGTTCAGGGCTTTGGGATAAGGCAATCCAAAGCTTCCTCATGTTCCCCCGATCGTCAGTGCCAGTCGTCACATTGGCATTGCGCACACGTTGGATTGCCTGCTGAACTCGGGTGCGTCTGTCCCCCTCAGATTCCATGGGCCTTGCTCGGATCGGAAGTATGGCGTATCCCCGGCGGAGGCCTGGAACAAACCCGTCATCGGCCTCAAGCTGAATGTCAAGTCGCCTGATGATGTCCTTAGCTGCTTGAAGGGTATCCTCTGCGGCCTGGTCAGGATGCCATCCCCCAATGATGAGCGCTGGTGGCTTATTGCCACCCCCCTCTGTATCTGCTGTGCTCCCCGGGGCTGAAGAGAATTGCGGCCTCTGTTCCAATGCCTCGAGGCGCTTTTCGAAGGTGAGCTGTGCCTCGCGGAGATCCCCCAAGGCCTTGGCTTGGGTGTCGTAGTTTTCCGTGACCTTGTTGAGCATATGTATGGTGCGCTCCATGTGGACCGTCACCCCTTTCTCAACTGCATCGACTCTCCCACTCATGGCTTTCACATCCCCTTGAACTCTTTCCAAGCTGTTGGAAAGGTGGTGGCGATCGATCTCTCGTTCCTGGGCGAGCACCTCCTTCAGCATAGCAAGCGTCAACGTCTGTTCTTGATGTCGCCCTCTCTTTTGGGGAGAGCCTTCCTCCTCTTCTGTCGTCGGCTTGGGCTCTTCCCCCGCCCCCCCTTGCATGGCAGCATCGGGCTGCCCCTTTCCCACGTCACCGGAAGATATCATTCTTAGCGCCGTCGAGAAAGTATCACGATCTTGCCGAGGCCCTCCTTTGCGACCCCTTCGCCTTGTGCAGAATCGCTCCGGTCAGGTAGCCCCCCTGTAGGCTCGCCTTGCCAATGAGGTAGCGGTACACAAACGCCCCCTCCCGCCCGGCGCCCGCAGCGGTCACCGATGAGGACCGTTCTCGACTATGTCGCGGCCCCGGACCCCCTCGGAGAAGTCGCGTAGTATTTCGAGGACGCCCCTGTGCTCGATAGCTCACTGAAAGGAAGGGTGCAGCACAGGATCCCCCCTGACAGTGCTCTCGTCTCAGCTTCCCTCTCTCTGCGCACTCCGGTTTCAGGCCCTCTTCTTTCTAGGTTGCGGCCTTGGACCACTCACGGCTTGAGCCAAAATGGCCTCTCTCTCTCTCTCTCTCTCTCTCTCTCTCTCTCTCTCTCTCTCTCTCTCTCTCTCTCGCGCTTGCATGCGGTCAAGGGCAACGCGGACGCATCACCCTGCGCGCGAGCGCGCCCCGACGGCCTCCAGTCTCTTCTGGGCTCCCTTCAGAATGAGGCGCGAGCACGGCACCGAGCATCCCCCTTCAACCCGAACACTAGGGAACCCCCGCGCCTCTTCTACCTCTTCTATGCTCTTCTGTCGGTCCCCCGTTTTGGGGGGCGGAGCTGTTTTACAAGAGAGGGTGCTCTCTCTTGCTTGCTTGCTTGCTTGCTTGCTAGGTGCTCTCTCTCTCTCTCTCTCTTTCTGCCGGGCTTCGGAGTCGTTGCCGACAATCAGGATTTCATCCTGCCCCCATTGTGTTGTGGAGTGGGCAGTCTCCTCTCTTGCGCTCTCTCTGCCCAACAAGCGAAGCCACGACCGCATTTTTGGAACGCGCCGAGGATGGAATTGCAGAAGACATGGCTAAGGTGGAGATCCTTAGCAGCGGCGATCTCAGTCCTTATGTTTCCAACAGTTCGGCCATGAGCAGCGTAAACTGAGATCCGTGCCTCTCGTGTCAACAGGACTCCAAGATGAACTGCCTAGATAAGTATATGAAAGCTTGCGAAGGTTCGTGGTAAGACTCAACACAATCAATACAAATTGAAGCTGGCCTGGCGCCAGTTCGCATGCTGCACAAAGCCATTTGCACACGCTCCCAAGCAAACGCTGTCCATACGCAGGCTGAGCGATTGAAGTCGAGAAAATAAATTCAGCCTGACAGCGGCAAAAGAACAGGCCGTGCAGAAGACCCTTTGGTCATTCCCCGCTTCCAAGGAAGGTGCGAGGAGTGCCATCTGTCACCCGCAGCACCAGCACCAATTCCAGTCCCAAGAAGTGCAGTGTCGGCTTGCAGGGCTTGACCTGAGCTAAATGGAAACCGGCCAGCTCTTCATGGCCTTGTCGTGCTAAGGTCTCTGCGGAAGAATTCTGAAAGAAGTTGCACGCCTGTCCCAAACTTCAAACACATGAACGCAGCTGTGCTTGCACGAGCAGCTTGACCAGGCACGCCTGCTTGCCACAGCAGCTCAGAGCGCAAAGCGCTTAAAGCCGACGTGCTTGCAGTTGCATCACGGTCAATTTCTCGGGTTGCCTCAAGAACAGCGAAGACAGATGAAGACAGCGCCTAGCCTAGCAACGCATGACAGTGAGGCCAGCACGAATTCATGCAAGCATATCCTCCAGCTGCCAGCCTTGCCGCTGCCATTGAGCAGGATGTTGTGGGAGACCTCTCCATGCGTGGTATGCGACACGAGAACGGCAAGCAGTGCTGAGGACCGAGCCGTGTCCGGCTTTAGACGTCTATCTGACGCGATGTTGATACATCCTGATTCGAAACCACAACGCTCGTGTACTTACTGTTCTTGCTTCTTGCAACTCGGGCGATGGCGGCATCCAGTTTCCCACAGGGCGACTTGACAAGATGTCTTGGCGGCCGTGTTGTACCTCGCTGATCTGGCATGTTCTGCTGGCTTTCGGCCTCTCGGCCTCGGAACATCTCGGAACTGCAAGAAGCGGGGCGGATCACGTGATCTCATCTGCCGCGTCTGCACTCCTTAACAACCTGTACACAGACCGAGCCGGGTCGGCGATTGCGAAAGTGTGGCAGCGCTGCGAGTGCCTGAGAGTGGTCTGCCATTTCTGGCATCGGCCGGAGGCTGCGGCCACCAGGTTCCAGGCGACAGCGTTGGGTTCCAAGCCCTCGGCCGAGACTTGCAGCGCAAGCGCCAAAAGATGCCAATCTGACGAAAACAGTGCACCTGCAGATGCATTCCGCGGAGGCCGCTCAAGGCACTATGCCATTGCCGACGCAAGGCGCTGTGCTTGATGAAGCCTTCGGCAACCCTCATTCTCATTCGATTCCATGGGCGAAATCATCAAACATCACAAGCTCAGGTTCCCCCCGCTTGACATGCATCTGGACCCTCCCCCATCTCTGCTAGAGTCACAACATGGCCGCCTCCCCACGCTTTGGGACAGGACTTCTGCGTGCCACCAACCTCGCACGATCAGGTTTGTGTATGTATGTCATTTCTGTCTCGTCATGTAAACACAGCCATCCGGGCATCCCACTTCCATCTGACCTGTGCGCACACCGCAACTCGGCCGTGTTACCCATGACTGGGGACCCCCTCCTGGAGGTCACGCTGTAACGCGGAACGGCGAGTGCGACCATGCGCGGCCATGCCGGGAGCATGCACAAGAGCTTCCGAGAAAAACTGCGACGCAGAGAGACGGCAGGAGCGAGTCTTCACACATGCATAACAGCGTAGGCCCAACTTTTACCGGCAAATCAACGCTGGGCGGATATTTAAAACAGCGTGGCTGCCAGAAGCCATTGAACCGCAGCCAGCGGGCTAGCGGGTGAAAACAACTCACCCATCAGCCTGCCTTTGCCTTTGCCTTGCCTTTGGCTTTCGCTTTGGCCGCCTTTGCTTTGCCAGCCGCCTTTGGCTTAGCACCTGAAGCGAAACCCAATTCCGACCTTCACTACGCACAACGGCGAAGGCTCGAAGTCCATCTACAAGGCTGCAGTCGCCAGCAAACCTTCCGGCTCCCGACCGGGCACACATATACAACATACACCTCCACCGGAAAAGTCTGTGCGATGTTTGCCAAATGTCGCGTTACAAAATTCGTCGCATTACAAGATCTAGGGGAGGACCTCGTCTCCGACAGATGTGACGGCACGCGCAACGCCCATCAGCGAAGAGAACTCGTTGCTGATTGAAGAAAGCTTGGTTCGGTGAGTTTCGCCATCGTCCATATGCTGCATGCCATTTTGCCTGAGGTGCGAAATTTCGGGAACCCCAGATAATATGTTTTTCGCGAACTCGAGCTTGCGCTTGTCAGGGGTATGTGCAGAAATCAAAGTAATGCTTCGACTTACCAAACTTGACACACAGTTTATCACATGCCGTGGGTCTAATGAGGCGCACACCGCCGAGCGAAAACACCTCGACGTCGAAGCCGAGCTTCGCTTTGAAGAGCTTCAGGACAGCCTGGCAGTCCTGGGTACAACAATGTCTCTTGGAACTTCAAGTTTCAGTCAGTTCATGAATGTCCGGAAACCACCCAGATGCTGACAGCTCCTCTTCCGGCCCCCGCAAAACAATGTCGTTCTCCGGAACGCAGTTGGCCTTTGAATGCCGTCCGCAAGAAGCGGAGTTTCCGACGGTGGCAAAACTGCTACAGGAAGATTTCGGAAGTGAGCTTCTTCCCCGGCCTGGACGATGCCCCGCTTTAATGGCCCGGCACCTTCCCAGGAGCACTCGATCCAGTGGTTGACCACCTGCGCCGAGCACAAACCCTGCACTCCTCCCATCCATGTGTACAACACACCGCAACGCACCACGTCAAGCGAGTTAACGTCAAAGGCTAGACCCGGTCCTTGACCTTCTTCCCATCATCCCAATAGCCAAGAGCATTCTTTCCTTCGTCCTAAGGACATGTCGCTTCTTCTGGCTGTACTGCATGGTAGCCAGGTTAACCCTCCCGCACTCTACTGGGCTTGGTGGGCCTACACCTGGAACCAAATTCGCGTGTCTCTTGCTGCCAAGGATTAACTACAACTCCTGGAGGGGCGACTGAATTCGATAAACCGCAACACCGACAAAGTGCAGTTTTCCATGGCAGGATGACTCCATAAGCAGCCAGCCTGCGTTGCGGTCTTGCGTACAAGGACGCTGCCGCAGCCATTGGCCTCTTTCAGCGTGACCTTAGAAGCGGTAGGAGCACGAGAAAGCTTGACGCATCGTGGCGCATGACGTGACACCTATTCGTAGTGAGGCGGCAGCATCCTTTCCCAATGATATCATTCCGACAATGTGCTTAGCTTTGATCAAGCCTTTGGCGATGTCACCTTTGGCACCTGTTTGTCTCGAAGGCCACAGCATGCTGCCAAAATCGCACGCGCCTCATCGCGCCTCGACATTCCACCCACTCATCCTCGATCTTCACCTGATGCAACTCAACATGCCAACGTGCCACTGGGAAGTGCACAAAACGCGGCTTGTGATCCAACCTGATGATCTGTCGGCAAATGGGCAGCAATGGACGACTTGCCGAATGACGTAGCCGTGACCTGCAGGTTTGTTACTATCAGAGAAGCTGAGTCTCCGTGGCCTTGCCAGCTGCTGCCTTCCAGGCAACGATTGGTGCCAGCATAGGGCTGCACAGACGCACCTGGCGATAGCACAATACAACTTGGGTTGGCTCAACCAGCACGTGGTGCAACTGTGCGTAGAGCAGTAGCCGAAGGTTCCGGAATCTTCAGCTCCTCGGCTCGTGCAAACATGAGATTTCAGAGCTTCGGCGGTTTTCGCACGAGCATGCAGGAGTATCTCTGTCCCGCGGCCACAAGCTTGCTGCCACAAACCAATGACAGCTTTTCTTTCGGATTTGTCGTTCCTGCCGTTCAGTAACAACTGGCTTCATGATATATGATATATCGGAAAGCTCGTCCATTTCAAAACATTGACAGCAAATTCAGCACATAATGGAGATCGTATTGAAAAGCACATTTAGGAGTGCATGCGCATGACGCTTTCGCATGCGCAAATTTATGACAATGTTCCAAGTAATCCTTCCCGCACCCTATTAAGGAACCAGCCGCTTGATACCTATGACTCATAACTGATTCCTGAATCTAGAATTATGGGACTATGGGTCCGGCTTCTCGGAGCAAAAGAATCTGCTTTCTCCGTCAAACCTTGGAGATAGGTCATCCCGAAACCGTATCGTACCTCATAAATGCAGTTGGACCGCATTCATTCATTCAAAACAGTTTCGCTATTTCTAGCCGCCATCGTGCATAAGAGCTGGAGCACGGGCTACTAGAGTACCAAAAATCAGTAGCTGGTCAGCGGGTAATGTAATTGGGCAGAAATGCGGCAAAAGCCATGTGCAAGACAGGCCGAATCATGCGCGTGCGCGGGTGTGCGGATGATTTGTCCAAGGCCCGGTCCACTTTGGAGGGCAGGTCTTTCTTAACAGGGAGGATGAGGCCACGCATCCTGGGCAGAGGGAAAGGTTCCAAACAATGTTTCAATGGCTCTGTGAGGGAAGCCTTCGGGGAATCGTGACCTTGAGCCGCTGGATTCCATGTGCCTGCATGTCGATTCCCTCTCTCCTCACAAACTTCCCCGACTGCGGCATCATGCAGCTACGAAGCAGCCTCTGGCATAAGTCCAGCCGCACTGAGGTCCTGCTCAGAGTGAGCAGGACCTGGTCCGACGTGGTTGCCCTTGCACTTCCGTCCTGCGGCATCTCGATGCCCAAGTCCTTGGCATCCGGCGCTGCAAGGTCTGCCACCTCGGCCGAGAGCATCAGCTTCGAACTCTTTGACATGGGGTGATGGACCTTTTTTCGCATCTCATCTGGAAGACCAGCCAAATATTCACAAAGAAGCCGCTCCTGATCGCGGCTGATCGAAAGAATCCACTGGCGAAGCAGCAAAGGATAAGAACAGCGTGGGCCTTGCGTGCATTCTGGTAGCCCTGCCACACATTGTGGGGCACAAACAGAGGCCCACCTGCATGGACAGCATGTACAAGAGACAACTCAATGTTAGCCCGGGTTCGGGGAGTGTTCGAACCCTGGGTTCGGGGAACTGTTCGAACCCTGGGTTCGCGGAACTCTGTTTCGAACTCTGGGTTCGGGGGAGCTCTAGGGAACGTGAGATGCACTAAACGGATCATACCTCTCATGCATGCACAAAGCTGACTACATAATTAGCTGAGAACCCTCG